GAAGACAACGTTCCTTTCTCCCAAACAACACCGTATAATATAAAATTCCTTTTGCTTCCGCGGCATCGTGCCCCCCAACATGTTGTTGATATGAAAAGAAAAATAAAGCGACACCACTGCTACGTGGCTTAGGCAAAAACGACCATGTTTGGTCATTCTTTCCTTATCAACCATTATCAAAGAAAATTAAAAGTAAAGCCATGTTTAATCATTGTCGATATTGTGACTATCTCGACAACACAGTAATCGGCCGACCATATTTAACAACTCTGGCCTAAAGAAAACAAACCATTTAGCCAACACAACCATACACCAACGACCTTGACTATGTTAATGCAATGTCGATGGCATCTACGTAGCTCACTCACTCACGAATCTAAAATAAAAAAACGATAAATTGGCTAAACAACATGATTGCAACATATCCATGCTATATCTCCTAACATTCTCACGCAAACCAATCTTTGAAGCCATTCAGTAGTAGAGTTAACTCGTACCTGTCAGACTCATGCAAGCTGGCACTATGAAAGTTGCATGTGGATCCTCCTTCACGCCAAAGTTGATTTCTTCCACAATGTCGCAGACAGTACCACTGCTTCCTCTCCCAACTTGTTACTCGCATCCTCGCCGTTGATCGGCAACCCCACTAGCAAGGCCGTAATTTCGGCCTTTGCCACCCTCTCTTGAGGTGGCTTACTCAAATTTTGGTGGACCACCTAATGCAAGCATTGATGGTCTCACAATATCGGACAACGAGTTCAAGCACGCCTTACCCAACACCTTTGTGCTTGAAACTGCGACGTTGCATGGTCCCCCTTCCATGCTCCTAATTTTTTGAGGACCCAGGACTTTGTGGTACAAAAGAGATTCGACAATGTTTCCCCCCACAACGTTGACCATATTGACGCCCACACCGTTGGGGAACGGGTCAGTGTCAACAATCATGGTCTCCTTCCTCGGCTCTGGTACCTTGAACCGACCTTTCTCAATTGCATCCTGCACAACGTTGCGAAACACAACACACATGTTAGTTGAATGAGATGCACTGTTGTGCCATTTACAATATCGTTTCCCTTTTAACTTTTCAGCTGGTGGGATAGTATGCCCCCCAGTTAACTTAATTTGACCATCTTTGTAAAGTTGGTTGAAAATCAATTCTGATTTTGAAACATCAAAGGAATATTTCCTAGTTTGAATTGGAGCACGATTGGGCTTTCCACCTTGTGGTTCCCCTTCGGCCTTGGCTAGAGAAGCACATACATATGGCTTCCCCTGCACAATTTCGGCCAAATCAACCTCAACCTCGTCAACATCACTGCCGACGTTATTCACACCATAGTTTTCAAAATTAGATAAATATTGTGCACGAGAACCACTCCTCTTATGTTCTTCTTCACGAAGAAGAGATTCGTATCTAACAGCGCATGACATCAATTGAAACAGATCGGAGAACTCCCTATCTTGAAACTTTTTACGAAGTTCAAAATTCAATCCACCCTGAGCAAGTTTAACAAACTCGCGTTCTGTCAAGTTCACAAAACAGCGATTTCTTGCATTTTTAAAATTAGTTAAGAAATGTTCCACCGTTTCTCCTGGCTGTTGGTGCATTCGTGCCAAGACTGCCATAGTTACTTCTGGCTCAGAACGGTAGAACTGGGCATGAAACATTTGTTCCATTTGCTGCCATGTTTGAACCGAGTTCGATGGCAAATTGACGTACCACGCAAATGCGGGCCCGGTCAACGAGTTGCCAAACAATCGCAACTTCAAGAAATCACTCACATCACCACACTGAACCGTGAATCGTCCAACGTGCTCGACGGTGGACTGATCTCCAGTCCTGCTGAAGGTGATGAAATCAGGTACGCGAAAACCACGTGGAAATGGGTGGTATCTATCAACCCAATCCGGATATGGTTTTCGATATACCGGCGGCATCGCTGGTCTAATCCCTAAACCAAACTGATCCGCCAGCATCTGTGCTACCTGATCTCGAATCAAATTAACATCTTGCCCCCCGAGTTGCCCCCCTTGTGGTATGAATCCACCAGGATCCATGCCAAGCCCGTTTGGAGGAGGAGGGACGTTTTGCGGGTAGCCGCGTGGCGGAATATGATCATTGTTGATCGTTCCTCCACCAACACCGCTCGTCGGAGCCACATAGGGTCTGGCCTCCGGGATATTCTGCGGACCCCCACCGTGAAACGGCGGTGGTTCAACCCGAGTGTTGGCGGCATTGCTAGTCTCGCCAATATTAACCCGCGGAGTTGGTGGGTTCACCACCGGTATCGGCGGAACTCCCTGTCTTGGCGGGCTATTTCGAGCACCGTTGTTTGGAAAACCAGTTTCGCTGTTTAGATTATTTTCACCGTTTAACAGCAAATCCCTAGGTTGCATTACTGGTCTACCCAAAATCTCCCTGATTTCATTCATATCACGTAGATTTTTATCAACAAAAACATCAAAATCATGCCTGTTTTTAGTCACAACGTCAAAGAGTTGGCCTAAACGCCTATCAACACGAGACTCAAGAGAATCATGTCGTGCAGTTAAAGCGTCAAAACATTGATTTACCTCGCCTTTGAAGCCTGCGAACTCATTGTTGAGGCTAGCAAACATGCGACGGTTCTCCTCCATGAAATAGCGGATTGACAAATCCTCGGTCGACCCAGCTGCGGACGGCGGATTCCCAGACCCACCGACGTCTTCAGCACCGACTCCTTGGCCTCCTTCAATGTTGGCCACATGTTCCTCCACGAATCCGGGGGGAACATCCCCTTCCTGATTCTTTCGTCGTGGAGCCATTCGAACACACGTGTCCCACCAGGTGTGCCAATTTGTTTCGTTGGCAAAACTAGCGTGTTCAATGCGCACTGTTTTCAAGTAAGCACAAACACACAGTCAGCAAAAACCGTCAAATATCCATCGCCGAATGTCGGCGCCGTTGATTTGATCGATTAAAACAGAAATAAGGACGACCATCAAATATCCACCGCCGGCGTCGGCGATGTTGATTTGATCGATACACCTTTGACTTCTAATCAAACAACCGTTATTCGGTTCATCACCTCTCCAAACTACGTTCGAACGAGGGTGTTCGGCGAATAACCAGAAAATCGAACCAGGAGTTCTAAGTTACGTTACCTCTACTCCTATGGAGGTTCCTCTGGAGAGCTCCGCAACTACGACTACAAGCTACGATCTACGACTCTGCAAAGGAGTTCTTTGGCAGAGCGGTTCTACGAAACTTGAGAGAAAAAAGATAAATCTGCGTAGGTGCAGTTTGTGATTTGATTTTTCCGTCCGGAGCTTCTCTCTCTTCTCAATCTTTATACTTCGCGCTTCTCCCCGTCGTAGTAACTGCCTTGGCGCCTTTGTCTCCCACGTCTTCATTCCTGTCAACCGTGCAGGTAACTTCCTCCTTGTTGCGTGATAATCACGTGCACTCGAAACCGCTCTTGCTTTGCAGAAACTTGGCGAAACAACTTACCAATACCACGACATCGCCTTTCACCAACCGATGTCGTTTTATAATCCAACTCAACTGCCCCGACCTGGTTTAACCAACGACATTGTTAGTCCATCAAACAACGTCGTTCTATACTCTTGCGCCGTCGTTGGGCTTGGCGGCTGCCTTTGGCCGAACTCTTACCACTACCGCGGTGTCGTTTTACTTTTCCGCGGCATCGCTTTTCATTAAACGACACCGTCTAAAATAATCATAAAATTTAAACCAGCCCTCATTGTTAACTCGCCGTCGAACTTTCACCCCTCGGCGTCGTTCTTAGTTAAACAACATCGTTTCCTTGTCCCGCGATGTCGTTGAACTTTTGAGCTTCGCGACACTGTTTTTATTTTAACACTGTCGTTTTGACTGTTGCGGCCTCGCTTGGCCTACTCGCGGTATCGTTTTTATAACCCGCAGTGTCGTTTCCTTCCTCTTGCGGCATCGTTTTCAACTAAACGACACCGTCCTAAATAATCATTAACAACATTAGTTAATTAATCCGGCCATCATTAGTCAAACTCGTGTGTTGATTGACGACATCATTCGCGCCCAAAACGGCTTCGTTTGCCTTTCCCTTCGCGACATTGTTTTTTATTTAAACACTGTCGCTTGTTAATCCGCGGTACCGATGGGCTTACTCGCGGTACCGTTTTACTTGTCCGCGATGCCGCTTGTCTCCATGCGGTACCGCTTCTCCCTTTCCGACAAGGAAAAACAATAATTATAAAATAAAACTCCTTCTCCAACACCACGCGCACAGCCCTCTTTTATTTTCATTAAGCGGTGTCGTTTTCCATGCCGCGGTACCGCAGAGCTTCCTTGCGGTACCGGTGAGCTTCCTTGCGGTACCGTTTTAATTCTCCATGCGATACCGATTTTCCCCTTCCGACAAGGAATAAAGGTAATAATTAATTATAAAACTCCCTTCTCCAACCCAACTACACGCGCGGCCGCCTTTTGTTTTTCGGTATTGTTTCCAGTGCCGCGGCACCGCTGAGCTTCCTTGCGGTACCGTTTTAACTCTCCGCGACGCCGCTCAAATCCAAACGACATCGTTTTAAACCCGCGGTATCGAATTAAATGTCGAGACTAATTAATGCGGCATTTAATTTCGGCCAAATTAATTTTAGGTGTCAACAGTGTTATGGATGAGCAGGTAAATAACCCGTGGTAGGTAGCTTAACTAAACTCACCGTTGAAGAACTCATTTTAAGTGGAGAGGATGGAGATAAAGTTAAAGAACCTTTAGGGGTTAATTGCATGGTTGGTCACTGAGATTACATAAACCGTTCATGTTTGGTCACTGCAAATATTTAATTCTATTAGTGGTTATCAGATTTAGTAAAACGAACCAAGTTTGGTCACTCTCAGTTAGTCTCTGTTAGGTCTCCGTGAACACCATCAGTTATTTGCTGAAGTGGCTAACAGAAATGCTGATTCACCCTTTTTAACTCGCCACGTCATAAAATCCGACCGCCATGTCACTGGAACTCGCCACATCAGATTATTATTAAGCTTTTAAAATAAAAAATTAAGATTTAAAAAAAACCCTACACCCTCTTTCTTCCCCACCCATCTGCGATACCCATCTCTTGACCAAATCAAGTGGAAGCAACCCATCCCTAACAGAAATCCTAATATGGCCCCATTTTAGTTGCTTGGCGTCCATCAAAACCGCCGCCGCCACCACGCACTGCCAAAGCTTGGTAACCTACTCCTCTTCCCTGGATACACATCCACGATCTCACTCCCACCTCTTTCATCGCCGGATTCATTCGACGACGACGAAAATCCAGACGAAGAACTCCATCGCGGAGCCAGATCGTGGAGTTGGTGCTTGCCGACTCTCACCTTTCTCTTCTTCTCTTTGATGGAGGGATTTGAGGAGCTCTGCCCTGCCAACGGGAAAACAGGGGAAGATGATTTTGGGCCTATGTCGCCATCAGATCTAGGCCCGTAATAACCGCGTCGGCTAGATGATTGGAAACAACAGCAGCCCCACGAATTGCAGGACTTGAACAGCGGGGGAATCTGGAGATCGACTTTGACCAGCGACGACTTTGGGGGAAATACGGAGATCGACGCGGCGGTGAGGGATCTAGAGACAGACGCCACGATCTCTTTTGTTTCTCGCTTCATCACCGAGACCCGGCTACGACGACTTCACAACGACGACACGTGTTCTAAATGCATATGTGTTTTTGGATTTTATTTTCTTTGGGGTTTCTGATCGAGGGGAGGAAAAAACATAGGGGAGCACTTGCGGTGAGTGGTTTGTGGAGGTTCGTGGTGCTGACGACGGAAGATATCCTGACATGGTAGCTGAGGTGGGAAAGGGGAAAAGAAGTGTACTGCCGGCGACCGCCTCTGGCGATACTCGGGACTGGTCGAAGCTGTCGCAGGGGAAGAAGAGGAACTTCAGGAGTTGATGAGTCTGGTTTTCGGTCAAAGAGGAAAAAGAGGAACAAATCGTGAGATAGGAAGAGAGCCTTTGTTGTTCTTTTACAATATTTTTATTTTTAATGGGTATTTTTTAAGTTAGCCGGTTCGATTTTCGGGTTTGGTTAGGAAGGTTGAGTAATTTAACACTTAACAGGGTTACGTGGTGGGTTTCTGACATGACAAGTTAATTATCTTTTTTTTTGTTTAAAATTGAATGACTCGGCATGTTTGTTAGCCACGACTAATGGAAGTTAACAGAGAATGACCAAACTTGACCTGTTTTACTAAACCTGGTGACCATGAACGGAATTAAATATTTGTAGTGACCTAACATGAACTTTTTTTGTAATCTCAGCTACGGGTGGCTATACGGTCCGGTTAAATTGGACCAAATTGATCCGGCCCCAGTCCGGTTTTTTCGGGAATATAAGGACCAAAGCTTGGATTGGATACACTTCGGTCTTGACCCGGTCCGGTCCCAATTTGATTTTGATTTTAGATTGAGTTTGTGGGGATTTGAGTGTTGGGGTCTCTTATCCGGTCTTTATCCGGGGTTTTTACCTCAAATTTAAGCCCGAATATGAGATTGGATTGGTTGCTATCCGGTCCTAATCCGGTCCCGATCCGAGTTATACGGTCCGGTTTTGGATAAAACCAAACAGTCCTGGACCAAATTGCCAACCCTAATCTCAGTGACCAACCATGCAATTAACCTGTATTAACTGTCACGACTAATTTATTTAACTAATCATGTGGGCCTCTTGCTCCGGAAAAAAAGGGAAAATTTATGAGGGTCATAAAAGCAAATGACCGATAAATATCCTTCTTTGCAATCCTTTCCCCCTCCCCTCTATATATCATAGACCAGGAAACCGGATCGTACCGGCCGGTTCAACCGGTTCAACCAGAAATTGGATCAAATGCGGTACGGTGGGCTACTTGTGCTGATTTTACCGTGCCGGCCGGTTTTTTCGGTTTGACCAGTTGAACCGGTTGAACCGGCCGGTACGATCCGGTTTCCTGGTCTATGATTCAGCTTCATTTCTACGTATTCTCGTCCAATATGTGGAAAATAATTAAAAAAGAATATTATTTTGCTATTTTTCTATGTTGAAAATGGGTCACCGTGGTTGTATAATGCTCTAATTGGTTCTTTTTTTTATGGATTATATTTTTTATACTATCACATTTCATTTCTCTATCAATAGTGAAAAACGGTATTTACCGGTACAAAAACGGTTGAACCACAGTCATACCACAAAATACCATACCAGAAAGAAATCCGGTATGATGTCCGGTACGGTTTCCTTTACCATGCTATATATGTGAGCAATGAGATCTTCCTTCCTCACATATATCCACCATTCTCCGTCACAAAAACAATACCTAACCCGAGGAAACTGTTTTAAGAAAAAAAAATGACGGAAAATGGGGCCACGTCATCGTCACCGCAAACAGCAGGCGGCGGCGGCGAACTGACGAAGGAACTACTTGAGCACCAGCGACCAGAAGAGCACAAAGAAAAGCACTTCCTTTCCAGCGAGAGGGTTCGAGACATCATCCTCGGAGTTTCCGACGGGCTCACCGTCCCTTTCGCTCTGGCAGCCGGCTTGTCCGGCGCCGAATCCACTTCCCGCATCATCCTCGTCGCCGGTATCGCGGAAATCGTTGCTGGCTCCATCTCCATGGGCCTTGGAGGGTACGTACGTACGTATTTTCTATACATGCAATTCCATCTACGTAACTTCGTACTAATTGTTTGAAGAGGTTCAATCGTGGATCATATACCACACACGTACTAACATCTGTTACCGTTACTGTGACGTGCATTGGTAGGTACTTGGCGGCCCAGGGCGAGGCGGATCACTACATGAGAGAACTCAAACGAGAAGAGAAAGAAATTATTGATGTCCCTGATTTAGGTTTTTTCTCTTTATTTTTATTATTTTTTTAATATTGGTAGCAGTTATTCTTAGCATTGGAATTAATTAATTAATTACCGGCGCACGTACGCAGAGGCAGCGGAGTGTGGGGAAATATTAGCCCAATACGGAGTGGAGGCCGAAGAGGCAGAGCCGGTCGTCAGAGCTCTCACAAGGAACCCTCACCATTGGGTCCGTTTCATGATGAAGTAATTAAGAGTAATTAATTAGGCTTTAAATAAATTGTATTAATCAACTATACTACTACTACTGCCCCCTTCAATTAATTAATTACCATACAGTTATTATTTAACGACAATCAATCAATCGCTCGCACGTGCGTGCGTGCGTGCGTGTGGGTGGCAGGTTCGAATTGGGGCTGGAAAAACCGGAGGAGACGAGGGCCATTCAGAGCGCGGCAACCATCGCCGCCTCGTACGCCGTCGGCGGCCTATTCCCGCTGCTGCCCTACATGGTTATCTCCTCCGCCACCCACGCCGTCATCGCCTCCGTCGTCGTAACCCTGGCCGCGCTGCTGCTGTTCGGCTACGTCAAGGCGCACTTCACCGGCGACGACAAGGCACCCATCAAGTCCGCTCTACAGACCGCCTTCGTCGGAGCCATGGCCTCCGCCGCTGCTTACGGGATTGCCAGGCTCATCCATTAGCTGCAAGTGAATGAAATTATATATATATTATAGTTGATTGACTAGTACGTACTCGATTTTATGTTCGATCCTAATATCAGTCACCACATTTTAGTAATTAAGTGTGTTGAATTTGAAATAATATATGTGCAATTCTGTGGTATTGTGGTACGGCCCCGGTGTCGTGAATAGATCTAGTTGGTTCAAGTTGGACTGGTTCGGTTTGAACGACTCCCATTAGAACGACCCCCAAAGTCACACGGTTCATAGGAGTTGACTAGAAGTATAAATATTTCGGGACAATCAACTTTTTGGGCGTGGACTAATCCTATGTCTCCATAATACTCACTAGTGACAACGATGAATGTTACACACCATGGCGACAGGGATCTATAACACAGGAAAAAGACGATCGGCACAAAACTCACATAGTGAAAGTGGGACGTGCAAATGAAGACACACGTGCAAATGAAGATCCCTTGCTCGTATTGCCCTCAATGGCGTAAAATAGGGGGTAGAGCGATGTTACAGCAAGGCTTGGCGAGTGAAAGTGGGACGGTTTCCAGGGAAGGAGATTTGAGCTTTTCAAAAGGAGGAGTTTACACAAAAAAAACACAAGAACATTATCTCCATTGGGTTGCCTCCACCTCACAATAAAAGCACTAATCTCCATTAGGTTGCCTCCCAACTAGCGCTAGTTTAACGTCTTAAGCTAGACGGATACTTCAGACCAAACATCTTGTAGGAGCACCACCTCCTTTTGGGGCATTACCTCTCCTCCGAGGTAATGTTTGAGGCAATGTCCATTTACCTTCAAGATCCCTTGCTCCGGGTGGGAAATCTCCACCACCCCATATGGAAATACTCGGTTAACCGCATACGGGCCTGACCATTTCGATCTCAATTTCCCGTGGAATAGACGTAACTGAAAGATGTACAAAAGCACATGCTCCCCCGGTTGAAAGTCCTCTCCCCCCCCCCCCCCCTCTTGAGCTTAGCATCATGCAGCCGCTTCGTATTCTCCTTGTAGATCTTGGTGTTCTCGTAGGCATGAAGATGCCACTCCTCGAGTTCGAGCACCTACAACTTTCTTTCATTTCCACACAAAGTAGGGTCCATATTCAGCAGTTTGGTGGCCGGAAAGCCCTGTGCTCTAGTTCTACGGGCAAATGACACGCTTTGCCATACACCAATTGTTAAGGCGAGACGTCTATAGGTGTTTTGCAGGGCATGCGGTATGCTCATAGAGCACCATCGACTTTCACAGACCAATCCTTGCAAGATTAGTCCATGGTCTTTTCCAGTATCCTTTTTAGTTCTCTATTTGACAATTCTACCTGATCACTTGTTTGAGGGTGGTAGGCAATGGAAACTCGGTGGGTGACAACATATCAATCGAGGAGTTTGTCGAATTTCCCTTGGAAATGGGTTCCTCGATCACTAATGATGACCCTCGGGGTTCCAAAACATGAAACAATATCTTAAGAAATCCACAGACTCGTCCTGTATCATTGGTGGAGAGGGCTTGAGCCTCGACCCACCTCGAGACATAGTCCACGACTATTAGAATGTACTTATTTCCAAAAGACAAGCGAAAAGGGCCCATGTGACCTCGAAAAGGGCACATGAGGGAGAGATGCTTGTTTGCAAAATAATTTCAAAAGCTTGGTGCAATGCGCGTCAATGTTGAAAAAGGATACCAATTTACGACAACTCCTAAATCTAAAGAGAGAATAAAAAGCACCTTCGAGAGCTCTTGTGCTTATTTGTGTTGGAGAATCCCCCGAAGCACACCTTGAATGTTCGGCCTAAGGTAATAGGTATGGTCTTCACCCGAGAGTTTATGCTTGCACAGTAAGATGATAGTAATGTTTATTCATCTCCGTCTGCTCTTCTTTATGCAATGAAGAACTAGAGTGCATTTCCCATTGATTTATCTATCCTGTTGCATTAGGTTTGTTTGGTGACAAGCAAACACTTAAGTGTGGGGGAGTTTGATAACACCTAAATTGGTGTTATTTACCCTTCATATTGAGGTTTGTTTCTTACCAATTCATGTGCATAAATGATTAAACATCGTCAATTGCATCCCTATTTCGTTCCTATTTGAATTCAATGTGATTTTAGGGTGTGTTAGACGATATATGCTAATTAGGTACAAAAAAAGGTCACAAGTGTAGCAAGGGGGCAGAAGACTGAAGATCATGGCCTAGAAGTAAAGATCACGGCCGAGATCCTGGATCGCGAAGTCAACCTGAAGATCTCACCCTGGAAGTCCAAGATCGCGACTGCAAATGGGAGGGCTTAAGGCGTGAACTTCGCAAAGAAGGATTCGAGGAGATAAAAAGAGTTTCCCCAATCGAATCACGGCCACAGTGCATTTTGACCGCGAGGAAGATGGGGATTGCGACTGCAAAGTAAGCCCGCGATCTCCTCAATCCCGATGGCAAGTACGACTGCGTTTCAAAATCGCGGGCTCTCCTCTAAAGATCCCGCCTGCGATCTCTGCCCTTCTGGCCACGAACTTGTCCGTCCTCTAATTGCCTATAAATAAGAGACCCCTTTCCCCCTTTTAAGGGAGCTCATTTTGAGAGAAGAATTTCTGGTTTTAGAGCGAGAGAAAAGAGAGAAGTTGAAGGAAGGAGAAGGAGCTAGAAGAGAGGAGGAATCTTCCTCAACCTCAAGGCTTCTTCAATTTCTTCTATGTAACTTCTTCCCTCCTTTATGAAGTAGTCATCTAAGTTACTAGCGGTTCTAAACCCCAAGCTCTAGTTTTAGAGTTTACTATGTATATATGGATATTTTAGGGTTTGAATGAATGTGTTTATCTAGTTGATTCTATCTTCGCTTGTGTTTGGGTAGGTCGCCCTAATCTTCTCTATTAGCTACCCTACTTTACCCTACTATGTTGGGTATGGAGTTCTAGGGTTTGACGAGTATGCACCATCAAGAAAATCAAGGTAGATGTATGAATAGGGACCTATGGTGGTAGAGGCGACCAAACCCCTGCTATAGGTAGCCTTCCTAGATAGAACCCGGGATAAAACCTCAGTGTTGACAGTAGATAGTATCCATTGAAAGGAGTTATGAGCTTAGTGCCCCAGATACGATAACCTATATCGAGGTGACTTTATATGGGTCTAAGGGAAGCGTACCCATAGGTGTGTGGATAACCATTAAAGCCCGCGTAAATAAGCTCACTCGCCATATTCGATAACCCTAAATATCTAGACATACATAGTATTCCTAGGCTGGGGTGAAGGATAGTTCCCCGAAGTATCTGCTTTTAGCTTTATTCAATCTCTAAACTAGTAGTTCCCTCAAATCCTCCAGTCAAATCTCCAAAACCGATTAACTAATTAACAACAAGGTGGGAAGTAGGCTAGGGTACCAGGACCGATTAAAATACGACCTTGATTGCCACTATGAGACAATGCCATCTTAGGTTAAATTTGGTTTAGGATGGGGTAGTTGTTGACACGTGCTAACCATCGACAATAATCTGCACGGACTCAAGTGATCAAAACCACACACAAAACATTCAAGTCATACAACCTATAACATAGTTCTAGCTAGTGTTTACAATACCCAAGTGAAGGAAGGGGACTAGGGGTGAACAAACACACCCGTAAACCGACCCACCTGTCCAACCCGACCCAATCCACTCGTATTTATCGCTAAAACGAAGGTTTTGGGTTGTGTGAGGGTTTTCTTTTGTACAACCCACCTCTATTGGGTTGGGTTTGGATTTTGGATTACACAACCCGTAGAACCCGACCCAACCCGTGTTCCAACTATTGGTAGGAGTTCGTATCCAAAAATATTTATGTCATTTAGCCATACTTATGCAAAAATTAATATATTTCGCCATGTTTTTCTCTCATGGTCTCCCTAATCTAATGCATTCTTCGGCTTAAAGTTTGGACATAAATTTAGTATAGCTATGATTCACATAATCTTTTTTCTTGTGTACAATTTTAATAGAATAACGTATTATGAGTGCATTCGTTTATAACATTTTTAGCCTATATCAACAAATATCGTGAAAAAAACTAGACATATGTTGAAGTAAATCACATTTTATTAAAACTGAAACAACATTTGTGAAATTTGATACCTTTCACCTCGGTTTATTTGTTTGAAATTTAGTAATTTATAAAATATTTTTTATGGTGTAGAATAATTATATATTTTGTGTTGTGTTGGGTTTTTACTTAAAAATATAGTCAACCCAACCCAGCACAATTAGAAACAAACCGTAGGGTTTAAATTTTTTTGGGTGGGTTTGGGTTTAATATTTCTCAAACCGTAGTGCATGGGTCGGGTGATTAAAATGGTTAAACCCGAACCACCCGACCCATGTACTCCCCTAAAGGGGACTACTCCATGCTTAGACAAGAGAATACACAATGGAGAAGAGAAAAGACCACATGTAGAAGGGGTTTTGTGGGGAAGTGATTTTTTGGTTTTATTTATTTTAGTTTATTATTTTAATGATGTAGAAATCTTAAAAGAATTAAATTAATTTTTAAATTGTCACGTCAGATATTTAACGGTCAACTCTTAAGGTTAACTGTCAAATTAGATAAAGTTAACGGAGAGTGACAAAATATGGACCTTTTTACCAATTAGAGTGACCAAAATTAATATTAATTTTTTCCAATTACTAAGCATGATACGTTTTAGTAAACCCAATGACCAAACTTGGCATTTACCCGTTCCTTCATCGGGGTCAATCCAAAGAATTTCGCTGGAAACAATTATATTTTTCATTATTAAAAATTGGATATATTTGTCACAAATGTGAAATTTAGGACTATACAAGGTTAGCATTTTAGCCTTTTATAATTATGGATTACAAATATTATTTTAATATATACGGAGATAATGTGTCGGTCACGCGTGCCGACATGTCACAATTATGTGTAGCATCGTCAACCCGCCATTAACAACAACTGAAAATGGCTAAATTTTTGTAATTTGATCAAAATTACAAAATTTTATGTATTTCAATAAATTTTGTTATTATTTTACACAATATAAAAAGTTTGAATATTAAATTATTTTTACCCTTATATTTCTTATTGTTTCAAACACAAAAATGGAACTCCATGACCATGTACAGTCTCCACTCTCCATTCATTTTATTTAATTTTATCGCTCCATATGGTTAAACTGAAAATGCCAACCAATATCTACAAAGAAATGTAACCAATATTTTGTTGCACGGCTATACATACTAACGTCCAGATAAATTGATGGAAACTAATACCATTTTAACACACAAAAACTATAAATTAACCCCAACTTAATACATAGATCATACGTTTTATTTTCCTTTCTAAGCAATATTTTATGTTACCCACTCTGAGATTTGTCATTTACTTCCGTAATTTATTTAGAGCAGAAGTTAGTAAGTCATTTATACCTCATTTCTCAGCAATACTATTGTTGGTGGGTTTTGGTTGGTATGGCTGATAATTCGAAGCCACTATATAAGAAACCATGCTCCCTTGTTCTTTTTCTCACACTTGCTAAAGATCCCATAGCCCCAATACGTAGAGAAACTGCTTTAAGCTCCTTCAAAATAACCAAATGGATTTACCGCACAAAGGAATCCTCCAGAGTCCTGCTCTTGCCCAGGTATCATTTTTCTCCTCCCTCTTATTCCCCTGTGTTTTCATTAAGGTAAAATACAGCCTTCCTCGGTTCAAAATTTTTTTTTTTTTTCATTAAGTTTCTGGGTATGCCCTTATTCCTCCACAAAATCTGGTTTATGACTAACCCATCATAATTGTAGTTCGTAAACAGTGACGGAGCCAAAAATTTGAATGAGGGGGCTAAAAATTATACACTTGAGTGGTTTAAACCATGGTCATTGGTGAGCGGGGGCTAATGGCTTATCAACTAGTCTAATTTTTAGAAATTATTACACATTTTCCATGTAAATTTAACTATTTTCGAAAGTTCCCTTGGTAATGGACATGACGCCCAAAATGGGTTCCCCAAATCATGTTGTTCAGCTAATCTCATCTATCCAAGTTAATTTGCTTAGAAATATTCTTATCCAAAAATGGTTAGGGCAGGTAGGTATAAAAATGCCAAAAATTAATGAGTGGTTATGGTGTGTGTTTGAACTAGTACTTATACGAGACGAGTGTGTATCCAAGAGAGCATGAGCAGCTGAAGAAACTAAGGGAAGCCACCGTCAACAAGTACGGGAACTTGTAAGTATTATTATTACACCTCCCACCACCCAATTTAGCATTACTCTGTAATCAGTGGAGCTTACAAAATTGATATTGCAGGGCGGAGACGGCGGTGCCGGTAGATGAAGGGAGGTTCCTGTCGTTGTTGGTGAAGATAATGAACCCTAAAAGGACGCTTGAGATTGGTGTTTTCACCGGCTACTCCCTCCTCTCCACCGCCCTAGCCTTGCCCGACGATGGCCTGGTTGGTTAATTTACTAAAATTTAGCCCCATCTTTCTAGTCTCAATGGTCCTGCAGCTAAAATTGTGTATTTACTAATTACGTTATATGTTAAACCGCAGATAACAGCCATTGACATCAGTAGGGAGCATTACGAAGTGGGCTTGCCCTGCATCAAGGAAGCAGGCTTGGCCCATAAAATCAACTTCATCGAGTCTCCAGCTACTCCGGCTCTGGACCAATTGATCCTAAACACCACCCACCAAGTAAGTCAAGGCCACATATATGTTCACAAGTTTGATTGGGTGGTCCCTAGTCATGTGGAGTTCGGTCGGGTATCGGTTAAATCGAACCACATCCAAACCTACAGACCACCGACCGAAAAGAGGCCTTAAAAAGCTTCGATTATCTCGATTTTTTGGTTAACCGAGCTGCCCACAAGACCAAAAAAAAAACTAGCTCATCCCTCCGAATACTTACCAATTTTCGGTTACCTCGGTTTTCGGTGATTGGATAACCGGCCCGTTTCGGTTGTAACCGATCGGTTATCCGCTAGCCAATTGTCCAGACCTATCGTTAAATCAAATAATGGGGCTAGGCAGAGTTGAGGACTGATAGCTCTTTTGACAACATGGATTGCAGAGTTGATGAGCAATTTTTATATAAGTTGATTATATCATAGTTGTAAAAATGATTATAATTCCACGATGATACTCAAATGGAGTTAGATAAAAAGATGCGTAATATATATATATAATAATAATAAAAAATTGTGTAATATCTTTTATCGTGATCAGGGGGAGGAATTGTTTGATTTTGCATTCGTGGATGCGGACAAAACAAGCTACAAGGATTACCATGAGCAAATAGTGAAGCTAGTGAAGGTTGGAGGTGTGATTGCCTATGACAACACTCTTTGGTTTGGATTTGTGGCGAAGGAGGAAGCTGAAGTTCCAGAACGCTTCAGAAATGACAGGAATGCCATTCTTCAACTCAACAAGTTCTTGGCTTCGGATCCTCGAGTTGATGTTGCTCAGATTTCTGTTGGTGATGGCATTACCTTATGCAGGCGTATCCAGTAATGGAGGATAATATTGGTTGACTTTGGGAAGGTGTTTTGAGAATAAAATTGAAAGAAAGCCTTGTTTGAGTTTGGCCTATGCAAAAGCAGGAAAAATAAAAAAAAAAGGAACAAAAGTATGAGGAAGATTTGCTTATAAGAGAAGCATAGAGAAATATGCATTCTGGTGAAAGAGTGATTTTTTCTCCTGCCCGTGATATGTTCATGTTGGTTAAGATATAAAGGGCCAATGCCAAGTTTTACTTTGAGTTTTTCATTTCTTTTTAAGATGGTTTCTCAAACTGTGATCTTTAGAATATGTTGCTTCCAACTAGTATTAGCCTGAAGAAAGACCATTGAACAAAAGTTCAATGCAGCATAGAAAACAAACAGGCATCCTTTTATCCACAGTTTGTAGCTGAAAAAGACAAAAAGTAGCCATGCTCTGCAGCTAAACCCATATCCTCAATCTGAGAAAACCATTCCCCAAGCATCTGTCGGGTTATGGCACTGACGAGGAAAAAAATGTTGTTCATATCCCTACACAAGCTGTTCATGAACTGTGTGGTCTTTTGAGATGGGCTCTTGTCAATCGATCCCTGAGGCATAAGTGTACCATTTATCTCTTTTATTTGTTTTCCCACCTATTACCATTTATTTCTTTTATTATTTTTTATTTTATTTTTATATTTATTTTTAACTTAATTGAAATAATGAGATTATGTGGCTTTTTTTGAATTTTTCAACATTTTTATGCTGACCTGGCGGTGATCTGGCGCGTCGACCGTTAGTCAACACGTTTGACCGTCCAAGTTAACGGTCAAACGTCGGGTTTGGCCAGTTTAATTATTTTGATGTATAGTTTGGGCTAGGATGTAATTATCGAAAAGATTGGTCAGGATGTTTATTTTTGTCAAAGTTCAGGCCATACAAATATATTAACCATAAATTAAATTACCATTCTACTGTCAAAAAGGAAAAAATAAAATAAAACATGCGGCTTCTGTGATATACATGGTTTTATCAAAATTCAATTCATGAATAAATAACTAAATATCACTAGTTTGTTACCCGGTCCGTTGGCGGGGTAAATTTTGTTTGAAATATGTACTTTGGTATTTTTTTTCTCCTAAAGTGTCGATTTTGTTCAGTCTGTCATGTCCTCTCTCATTCCAAATCGTGTATACCTTTGAGTGCGACCAGTTGGCCGCTAAATGATTTTTTTAAGGTAAATTAGTTTGTACCACACGATAATATTTTAGCACCCATGAAATTGTTGTGCATTATTATTATGATATTACAAAATTAAACATTGATATAATTTAGTAACTAAGTAGAATAAGAAATTTGTTCTCCGATCTATGTTAGTATATACTTTATGACGGTTCAATAGAATGATATTGATATAGTTTCACAACTATCGAATAGGAACATGCCTTGTAAATATATGATTGTGGCTATGTTTAACAAAAAAGCATATATCAAAATGGGTATCCTTGTGTAGATCACATAAAATCTGATTTTTTCGCCCAATAATATTTAAATTCGGAGTTGAGACGAAATAAATATGGATCAATTAAGAATAGTAGGGGAGATTGAAAAAGAAGAGAGAGAGAGAGTTAAGTGGCACATTCTAATTGGGGTATAGAAAAATTTAAAAGAAAAAAAAAAGAAGTTAAGAAAATATCTGATTGGTCGGAAGGGTGCTGACGTGGATGCGTAGGAGGCCTGGAATTTTGAAATGGTGAAGGTAGTTTTTGGAAAAGTCTTTATATATTTTATAGATAGATTATGGACGAAGTCCAACTTATAAGACCTTGAATTATCAACCATAAAAACCTAATAACCAAGGTTGTTAACCGGGTTTAATTATTATGTGGGAAACACATTAATTGTCGTTTTTTATTAATTCGGATTATTGTCGGTTTTTAAGGTTTGGGGTATTTGGGAATAAACAGGGAGTTGATTGTTATGTTTAATTAGTTGGGTAGTTCATAGAGATTATGCGGATTATATAATCTGTACTAGGGCATTATTTTCATTAGGCAATCAGTTAATAAAAATTCTAAACCTAAACCCTCCTTCTTTCCTCTCTCTCTGCGCCAACCCTTTCCCTCTCTTCTTTCCCAAGAGCTGCGATAGCAGCAGGCCATTCCCCTCTCCCTTGTTCTCAATTATCCCAATTCTCAATCCCTAGCTAGATCAATCCCTAATTGATCTAGCTAATTTCCCCATTCCCAAGCACGTTAGAAACCTTGTTTCTAACATCTGGTATTAGAGCAAGGTTCGAGAGTGAGTTCTTTGAGCTCTTGAACCAGCGCAAACAACAATGGTGTCGACGAAATCCATGAAGGCAGCGGAGAAGGCAGCTCAGGCAGCCGAGAGGAACACCGAGGCGGGCGACGTTGATCTCGACGGGGTGGTGATGGAGGACGTCACCGAGCTGGAGGCGGTGAAACTGGTGGTGCACGAGCACTCTGATGCGCTGGCTCGGCTCGAAGAAGGCCTGGCAAGTAGGGCTGGAAATCCGGTCCCGGTTTTCCGGTCAACCGGAAACCGGCCAGTTTAAACCGGCCCGGTTGCAACCGGAAACCGGATTACCATCAACCCAATCCAATTTCCGGTTGTAGTGCACACCACCCCGGTCCAATCCGGTTAAAACCGGAAAAACCGGATAGCCCAAACCAAACCCACACCAGCCCAAAATCAAGCCCAGCCAACCCCAAGGCCAAGCCAGGCCCGCCAAGCCCAACCCTAATTCTATCCCCTCCCATTCTCCGCAAATCAACCCCAGTCCCCAGCCAAGCCTCAAATCAACGCCGCCTCTCCTCCTCATTCTCTCCCCTCTCCCATTCTCCTCTGCAACACAAACACGAAATAGAAAAAGAAGAAGAAGAAACTCCATCCCATCGCAAATCGCCTCTCTACATCCCAGTTAGGTGACTCCCGTTTGCCGGCAGTGAATCGCGCCACTCGTAAGAGGCATGCAGAGGTCTCTCAGCCTCCACCTCCGTACCGCCGCCCGTTCATATCTCCCATGTCGTTCGTCGCCCACCAGCCATCAAGAATCGTTCATCAAGAGCTGTCGTCGTGAAGAAGTGAGAGGAGGAGAAGGAGATATGAGATTGAGAAGGAATCGAGATTGGGGAAAGAGATAGATAGGGATTGGGATTTGGGAAAGCGATAGATAGGAATTGGGTTTTGGGAGCGAGTTGTGAGGTCGTCGATTTTTTTTTCTCAGGTCAGTTTAAACGTTATTGTTTTTTAGTTTATTTGAGTGTTCCGGTTTTTCCGGTTAAAACCGTATTGCATACAATCCGGTTTGGTTAAAACCGTGCACCAATCCAATCCCGTCTTCGGTCGTGTATATGTCCAATCCGGTTTCAAAAAACCGGGTCAATCCGGTCCGATTTTAACCAAACCGGACCGTTTCCCACCCCTATGGCAAGGGTGCAGGCTGACGCGAAGGCGGATGCTGATGATCTGCGACAGAGGCTGGAGGACCTGATGCGGGCGATTGCCTCGCTGCAAGCGAAGGGGGACGGATCAGGGGGAGCGCCGATTCCGGCTGAGTCGGTGATCGAAGGAGGCGGCGCGACGGGGGCTGCGGAGACGGCGGCGACCGCGGTTGGCGGGGCGGCTGGCGGCGGGACCACGACGGCGATGGCGCCGGCGGCGCAGGCGGGCGCGGCTATCGCGAAGTCCGGCGGCCGGGCTAGCGCGGCAAGGGCGGCGGCGGCTCAGGCCAATGCGTCGATCGCGACGGCCGAAGGAAGCAGGGCGGCGGACACCGGGCCGGGCCGAGCTGATCGAACTGCAGTAGGGTTGGGCTCGGGTCTGTTACCGACGCCTACGGCCCAAGAGATTGCGGCCCGGAAGGGAAAGGCTCAGATGCCCGGGTATGACACAGACGAGCCGCCTATGGGTCATGGGCCGGGACCGTTGGGCCACCACACGAAGGTCCATAACGGGCTGGGATGGTTGGATCTGGAAGATGGGCCCGAGTATGACAAACTGAGCCTGGCGGATCAGCAGGCCCAGTGGGCTGAACCGGAGGTGGACCTGAGGCGGCCGGGTGGGCCGAGAAGGGTCGGTGACCAGATGGGGCAGGGAGGGTCGGCTCCAATGGGGCGGACCGCAGCGGACTGGGCAAGAGCGGGTCGAGCCGATACCGGTCGAGCCGGGATCAAGCGGACCGACGCGGATCGGACCGAGTTGTGCCGAATCGGACCGGGTCGGACCGGAACGGGTCGACCGGAGGTGGGTCGAACCGGAGGTGGGTCGAACCGGAGGTGGGTCGAACCGGACATCGACTGAGCCCTACTTCTCAGCCGATCAGGAGGGTGGACAGCAGGGGACCAGTAGGTGGGAGGGACCTTACGAGGCATCTCACGCTCCAGGAGGGTACCCGAACCAACAAGGGAGCTACCCGGGTGATTATGGGCACGGGAACCCAAGCCAGATGCAGTGCGCTCCATTTGGGCAGCCGTGGAGGACCCCAGGAAATGACAGGTATGGGTCCCACTATATGAATTGTGAAGGAATGGATGGAGTAGTTTTTCGAGCTAAGCCTCCTACCATTGAGTTTCCAAAATTCAATGGGCAAGAGGATGCAGGCCTTTGGTTGTATGCAGTTGAGAGGTGGTTTAAGAACCACCCAATTCCGGAAGAGAGGAAGGCCTATCTAGCATCGTTCTATTTTGAGGGAGATGTGCTCCAGTGGTGGGAATGGATGGAGAGATCCTACGCAGCCGCAACAACTTTGATTACTTGGCCCATGTTTCAGGAGGAGCTCCGTTATCAGTTTGGAAAGTCTGACGGGTGGGCTCCTGAGCAGTTGGCGAAGCTGAAGCAGACCGGCACGGTGGCTGAATACCGTGCGGAGTTCTTCAAGTTTGGGAACCAGTGTAAAAGTGTCTCGGAGGACACCTTGGTGGGGATGTGCATGGCGGGTCTCAAGCTTGAGATAGCAGCGGCCGTCAGAGTGTTCGAGCCCGATTCCTTGAAAACTGCTTTCCGTCTTGCAGGTCATAAGGTGGAAGAACTAGCTAGCTGGAGGAGAACCATTGGCCGCTTCTCGAAGACAAGTGGAGGAGGAGGAAGCAGCGGGAGCAGTGGCGGCACAGGAAGGGCGCCAGGAGGAGGCTCGACTGGGGCTAACGTGAGCAGTGGAGGTCCTGCTCCGGTGGCCAGGTTGGGACCGCGGGCCATACCGAAAGGGTTTGTGCCACTATCGCCGGCTGAGATTGAGCAGAAGAGGCGGGAAGGCACGTTCTTCAACTGTGATGGCCGGTTCACCATCGGGCATCAGTGCCCGAAGCCGGATTTGATGATGTTGGTCGGGCGCTGGGAAGATGAAGCAGAAGATGAAGTCGAGGACGGCGGAAATGGCGAGGAGGAGGTCTAGTGAGCTAGAGGAACAACCTTGGGGACAAGGTTGTTTTTCGAAGGAAGCGGGGATGTGGGAAACACATTAATTGTCGTTTTTTATTAATTCGGATTATTGTCGGTTTTTAAGGTTTGGGGTATTATTTGGGGTATTTGGGAATAAACAAGGAGTTGATTGTTATGTTTAATTAGTTGGGTAGTTCATAGAGATTATGCGGATTATATAATCTGTACTAGGGCATTATTTTCATTAGGCAATCAGTTAATAAAAATTCTAAACCTAAACCCTCCTTCTTTCCTCTCTCTCTGCGCCAACCCTTTCCCTCTCTTCTTTCCCAAGAGCTGCGACAGCAGCAGGCCATTCCCCTCTCCCTTGTTCTCAATTATCCCAATTCTCAATCCCTAGCTAGATCAATCCCAAATTGATCTAGCTAATTTCTCCATTCCCAAGCACGTTAGAAACCTTGTTTCTAACATATTAGTTCGGTCGAGTAATTAGTTCGGTCGAGTAAGTAAGTTGAGATTTAGTCTGATTTAGTCCAAATATATGGGAAAAATCATTATGGTGTTCATACATTTATAAATTATATCAAATTTCATCCAACATATGAATAAAAATATATAACATTATACCAAAATAATAGGTCGTATTTGAATCCAGCATATAGTGAAAATTCACACACTTATAAAATCATTATGTTATTTTTCTTTTCTTTAGTGTGTGAACTAGTACATTTGTGAGCCTTTCTTTACTTTTACTATGATGTAGAATATTGTTATCTGTAATTGTCAAGAACCAGTTGATCCCAATAACTCGAGTTGTTGGGAGAGGTTCAATCGTGGATCATATACCACAACACTAACACGCCCCATCAAACGAAAGCCACTTACAAGGGCTTGAAGTTTGCACAGGTCTGAAGACAAGAATACCATGTGCTTAACAAATGGGGGTCACTAAGAATCGAATACAAGACCTCTCGGTCACAGAAGGCTCTGATACCATGTCAAGAACCAGTTGATCCCAATAACTCGAGTTGTTGAGAGAGGTTCAACCGTGGATCATATACCACAACACTAACAGTAATAACCTCACCTCGAGCGAGAATGTGCGTGTGTTTTGCTTTGTCTTCTGTTTGAAGCTCAAACCTCCTACCCTGGGAAATTGTCCAACTTTCACTCACCAAGCCATGTGGTAACATCGTTCTACCCCCTATTTTACGCCATTGAGGGCACTGTCGAGTTTAGTGTGGGGGAGGGTAGTTTATTATTATGCTTGTGTGTGCGATTGAATGCTTGGAGCCTTGATGTATGCCCAAATTTGAAAATTTTGAGGGCTCCAAGCAATGCATGATCGAAGTGGCCGGTTTGTGGGTGAATCTCGTGTTTATGTGGCATTGACCTTGAATTGTCACATGTGATCGAGTGCATCCTATTATGATGACTGAGAGTTGCATTAGGTGTGTGAAAAAGCTTAGTTCTCATGGGTGCTTAAATGAATGGATGTCTTGACTTGGTTACTCTTTGATCACGATTGCCTTGCATAGATTTTGTGAAATTAAAATAGACGATTGGGTGGCTAGGTAGCCATGTGAGTTTTGTGCCGATCGTCTTGTTCATGTGTGATAGATCCCTTTCGGCATGGTGTGTAACATTCACTGTTGTCACTAGTGAGTATGATGGAGGCATAGGATTAGTCAACGCCCAAAAGTTGATTGTCCCAAAATATTTTATCCCCTAGTAAACCCCTTTGAGCCGTGTGACTTTGGGGTTCGTTCTCATGTTAGGAGCTTGTTGCTTGTGAGCTTAATGGTGATGATAGAAAGATCCCTCATACTTTCTTTGTGTCTAAATCGTTGTGAGACGTCCTTGTGTCCGGGGGCTTTCGCTTTTGAGCTCCATTGAGGTTCTACATAGGCGGATTTTGCACAGTTCCTGCTAGGAATGGAAAGATGGTGTCAGAGAAAGTTCTTAATAGAGAGCATTGTTCGTCAAGTGTTAAGTTGGCAAATGTTTAACTCTTTAGCACCCCCTCAAAAAAAAAAAAAGAAATGGAAAGTAGAAAAAAAAAGGAAACGAAAAAGAGGTAATAAAACGGGGTAAATAAAAGTAGAGAGTTGCCACAAAAGTCTAAGTGTATGCTCTAGATAGGGTTTCTTAGCACTCAAGCCATTGCAACACCTAAATTGTTTGCTAACCTCTTTCACTACTTTGATTGAATGGTGGATAGCAAGATAGGCCGAAGAAGTGTGTTTGAATGTAGTTCGTGATTGGTAGTGGTTTGAAAGAAGGGAAGTGTGGTTTTTTGGCCGATGTTAGTGGTTGTTGAGTGTATAGAAGGTTCGTAGTCAAAGCCATAGAAGGTGGAACCAGCCCAGGAGTCAGAAGTTGGAAGAAAAGATGCAAAATTGGATCAAAGGATGGAGGCGGTCGCATCACGGTTGAAGCAGATAGTTCACAGTCAGGAGGACCATGAACTGAAGCCAGCGACCGTGAAGCGCCATGCGTCCAGAGCCATTTTCGGTCTCACTAGACTCAAGTCAACCCAAGCCAGAGACCGTGAAGAGCATAAATGAAGGAAGAAAGGGGGAGAGACCTAGTGAGAGAAACTTCTTCTTCTTCTTCTTCAGATTTCTAGTGTGAGAAAGTGATGAACCAAAGAAGGGAAGAAGTTAGGGTTTCATCTTCAAGCAAGGTTTTGGAAATTCCTTCCCAAAAGGATGATCTCTTCAACACAAGGAGCAAGGCTAGCATCTGCATGATGGTTTTTCTTCTTCTCCCTTGTGTTTTCCTTCTCCTAGCATGGAGTAGTCCTTATTTCACTTGGGTGTTTGTAAATCCTAGCTACAATTATGTGAATGTTTGTATGGATTGAATGATTTGTGTTAGGGTGCGTTTTAATACAATGTTATGAGGTATTTTCAGGAAGATTGATTGTGTTTGTGCATTTCAATGTCTTATGCTATCTTAACCTAGGTAGAGGAAAATCCCCTTCTTTTGAAGAGGCTTGTAAAGGATGGGTTTCCTTGGGAAATCTTTGCCTCCTATTTAGATTAAACTAGGGAAAACCTCTTAATTCATATTAGCACCTAGGTTTGGTTGTAATTTGGCAGTCCGAACTCCGATTCGAGGGTGAAGTCTTGGCAACCCTTAGTCAATAGGTAAAGAGAGCTACTTTGTAGCTTAAATCGAATTCCCTTGACCTATTCACCGAGAGAGTGGTGTTTTTCACTTGTTGCACTTTTCTACAGTTTACAACCTCCTTAGCACACGTGCTCATTCGATCCGACAAGTCATAATTGCTAGCTAGAGAAAGCAACACCCGGGTGAAGTCTTCTCAATTAGTGTCAAACCCATTTACTTTTTCAAACGTTTAGTTATAGATCGTTGTTTTCACCAAAAACCAATTGGTAGATAATGTTTCAAACAATCGAAGTAGGGGTACATGGACCAGCCCGGGTTGATATTTAAACATACTTGGGCCCTAATTGGGAGTTTTGTTGTGATATTCGGGACGAGTCACGGATCTAGGGGGCCACCCCCGGGCCACGGCCCAGCCCTCCCCGAATCTAGAGCTGGAATAGCTCTTGTAAATTTTCGATTTTAGGGATTCATTTCAGTGCTCGATGGGTTACGGTCCAATCCTCTTCACCTTTTTTCAAATTCGGTCCAGTGCTCTATAATATCATGGATCCGCCACTGTGTAAGAAAGACCATATCTTAGGAAGGTATTTGCATTTGTTCTCTTATGTTCAAAGGAGTATCCATGCTACTACTCAAAGTACAAAAGAGAACAAAACGATTTGGCATTTTTTTGTTCAAAATATAGGGGAGAGATAACTCATGAGAGCAGGTAGTTGAATCGAAAGAGGTGACGTCAATGTGGATTACAATGTGAGAACACGTCATTATCACTTGTGGTCTGACTAAGCCATACCCTTAATTAACTTTTGTTAATAGTATGAGATATAAGAAGCACAAAATTAATAGAGCTACTGCTAATCCTAAATAACTAGCTAGGCTCAGTTAAAAATCCTGCATATGGCGTCATTCTCAAACGTTGCTTAAAGATGTCAAAATGTCGGTGTAGTTTTGCGCCAACAATTATGAAAAATGACGGCTCATCACTCCAAATGTCGTTTTTTATTTTGTCGCTTAAAGTTACTACGACATCTACAGAAAATGTCGGTACTTACATCTTGCAACATTTTATTTCGACATATGAAAATGTGACTATTGAACCTTGCGACATTTACGCAAATTGACCACAGTAATAGAACAAGTGAACAAGCTTTAATCACCAGTAGATAATAGTGTTTAATTTCGACATGCAAAGCAAAGGAATTAAGTTCCCAATTATTAAATTATATAAAGCACAAGTTGACGTAATTAGTAATAACAAAAGCAATCATTTACGGCACAACACGAAGTAGACCTGGATTTTGTCCTTGTAAGCCGACTCCACTTCCTCGGACAGTTGGGACATCATAACGGCCAGTCGGTCGAAGAGGATCCCGACAACATTGGAAGGGAAATGGGAAAGGAACATTCCTTCCATGGCGGCTCTAATGTGGCCGGTATATTCCACCATGTCCACGTGGACGCCCTCCGTCAACCACGGCGCCGGATTATTGAGTCCCATTGCCTCTATGGTGAATTGCCCGTTTTTTGTTACGGCGGCTTCAATTTCTCCGGGCGGTGGAGCATATATCGGCAAGTTGAATGCATCCACTTCTTCCTCCTTTATCATGCCCTGTAGTTATATATATATTCCAAAGTTTTGAATACCAAACATTATTATTTGTATAATTCATTGAGAGACCAACTATAAAAAGACGACTCGTCAGCAAACATTTTGCCTAGCTCGAGCTCGAACTTGACAGAGAATAACTCAACTTAAAACTCGACTAAAACTCGATACAAGCTGCGCAAATCAAGCTCGAGTGCGACTCGCAAAGAAAAAAATGAGCTCGAGCTCGACTCGGTAATAGCTCATAAGCGAGCTCAACGAGCCCAAATCATCGAGCCAAACTCATTTGAACCTTTTGATTAAAGATCGGCTCGCCTAAACCCGTAAGTGTCCATTTTCAGCAAAATATTGAGTCAGTTACACCTTTAATATCCGATTACAAACATGTCTAAATACAACCAAGACTGATTACTTTGTAGGTCTTTCAAGTAAAAAAGTTGCCTCTCATGTCAAGTAAATCCATGAAAAACCACTGACACCCAACATTCTCAATTATTGGGAAGCCGAGAAGCTTTTTTGGTCACTTATTTTATTTCTAGAAGTCAAAAATAATCTCTTTCCATGCGGTAAATGTAATGAAATAATCTCTTTCTATTTGCTGTACTAACCGTTAGATAATATTTTTCCATTGAAAGGTGAAATACTATGTGATATAAACAATTTATAAATGTAACAGTTATAATAAATCAACGTACTCTGGCTTCTAGTCGATGAAAAATAATTTGTCTTCAAATCATAGTAAAAGTAATCCTAATCTTGGTATCTAAATGCTAACCTGTAACAATAAACAATTAAATTCATAAATGTTGTTAAGTCCAAACCTAAGAAGCCAAAATCTCATGCCCTCGGGCCTCAACAATAGCAATAATAAACAAATTCAACTCATCCCAACACATTGTCTTATGATAATCATATTTCAATTCATAGCAACAATATGTGATAGGTATGAAGTGTAACTTGAAGATAATAACAACACATTCATGTATATATTTTATTATTAATTCATATTCATCTATTTTAAGAATAATGTGTATTTAATCAATCTATAATATATTTATTTTTATTATAAATTATATGCAATAACTATTTAGCCATGTATATAAGTATGAAACCACATTAACCATATGTAGTCTAACCAACGTACAGTTATATCACTAATAGTAAGTTGAAAGATATGTAGTCCAACCAACCTATGAGTTATATGACCAATACTAGTCCAATATATGAGCTATTTAATGAGTAACTAACAGAGCTGCTTTGCTAGCCACACCATGAAGTTAACTTATGAGCTTTAATTAATTAATTAATTTAATTCATGAGACACATTATCGAACTACCTCGTGCGTTCCGATAGAGCTAGCTCACAAGCCAGCTCATGAGCAACACTATCGAGTTAGCTCAGAGCTTCAAACGAGCCAGCTTGTGAGCCTGACCGAGTGAAAATGACTTGTCTTGTGCTCTGCTCATTTACAAACAATTTGGCTCGCGAGCTAGTTCATTAAAAATCGAGTTGAGTACCGAACGATTTTTTACAAATAGCGAACCCAATCCACTCCTGAGCAGCATATATGGCTCATTTGTAGCTCTATCAAACACATAATATAATTCCTTATCGTACAATTTCCACAATTACCAACCGAGCGACGACACAAATACTAATATATTCCTTAATCAAATGTCAACACACATTTCGAAGGCAAATTCTAATATCCACCTATTGGTAATTAGTAATTTAGAGTGAGATATTTTGTTACACTGCGTGACATAAACAAAATTTCACGTATTATTTTTATATAATTCAATCACATAACCTTTTTTTTTTTTTGCATAAGTGAGCTATGCAAATCCATTCACACCTCGACACACGCAGACGCAGACAAGCACAAATACATGCACGCATGCATACACTTACATTTGAATTTTATAACGAAAGCTCGCTAGCGTTCACACCTAATAGATATACTTTGACAAATAATAATTATATATTAGTCATATTTTTTTTTTATTGAATTGATCCTATATGCATTTGAGTTCTATAGAATTCGGATAGTCACTGATTAGAAATTAGTGGATATATAATATAGGAGATAATCTACATTATCTAACTTACATGATGAGCCAAGTCGAGGAGGATGGAAGCCATGCAATCGAACATAATCCCATTGGCAAGCAGCGAGTACGGCATCCCGTCGGGAATGCTGGGGCCCACCACCAGAACCATCCCTCCGGCCACCACCTCCGCCGCCCTCGCCGCCAGAAACCTCCCCATGTCTTCCCCCCACTGCGCCTTGTACGCCTCCAATACGGCGCCGGATGCCCCCGTGTAGTGGATCCGCCCTCTGTTGGGTGTCCCCTTTGGCGCCGCGGAGAGCCAGTGGATGGAGTAGTACAGCTGGACGACGTGGAGGGACGACGCCGGGAACAGCCTGCCGTGGAACGAACCGGGGACGCCGGCGGCGAAGTAGCCCCTGCCGTCGGGGAGGGAGCGGAAGAGGGCGTTGAAGTCGTTGGACGGCAGGTCGTTGAAGAAGACTTGAAACTCCAGCTGCTGTAGTCGGGAGGAGGAAGGATGCTTCTGCTTGATGACGTGGATGAGGTCCTGGATCGAAGCCAGGGTGTTGGGCCCAACGGAGCAGCCCAAGTCCGCGAGTTTGATCACGTTGGCGGCGGTTGCTGAGGTGGCACTTAGGTGACCTGTCACGTCTAGCTTCTTTGCGATAGTATCGTGGATCGTATCTTTTGTCACATCCGCTGCCATTTTCTGTTGCCGTTTCCGGCCACGTACAAAATGGACAATTACGTAGGATTAGTCTCCAGCAAGGTTGTCAACCCGGTTGACCCGGACCCGGTCGAGCTAGTGGGTCAAGGGTTAATGGGTCACTCGTTTTAGTCCGGAAATATGAAAAGAGTCATTATATGGTACTTATCATGATAAATTATATCAAATCTCATCTAATATATGAGTAATAACATATAACATTACACCAAAGTAACATGTCGTACTTAGATTCAACATATAATGAAAATTCACACACACACTTATATAACATCAATATTCAAGTGTTCAACTATGGATTCCAAATATTGAGTTAGGCGAAAAGAAAAATCGGAAAATATGCGCATTTAGCAAATCAAAGAAAAAATGACAAAATTTGACCTCCAACCCGATACCTTGTAGCGATCGACCCGACGGGTGTGTGCGGCCCATTTTTCTCACCGGATCAGAGTCAAAGTGAATCGACCCGTGAGTCGACCCGCGGTTGACAACCACTCTCCAGTTAATAAGATAGATAGAAGCATTCAAATAGCTATTAGCAAGGGGTTATAATTGATTACCTGATAGAAGGAGTACAAAGAATAGCTATTGTTGCAGCTGTTCTCGTTCATTTTCTTCTTGGTGGAAGAAGAAGATGTAGCCATTTTCCACAAATCCTATGCAGAGTTGGCTTCTATTCTTTCTCGCTGTGTACCCATTAATTTATAGAATACTATCACTCAATCGTCACTCGGTTAACTTAACTCAACAATTGATTATTTGTTGATTTGATTCTTCTTTACAGAATAGTTAATAGCACAAAGTTAAAATATTCGGGAGTTTATATATGTGAATATACTTTTGTCCTTTAATTAACGGTTGTTAATTGGTGCATGAGAGATGAGAGGACAGTAATCATACAGCAACCAATATATTCATAAATTGAATAATCCGCACCCACCCCACGTATATGTGTGTACGGGTAGTTGGTAACTTGGTATTTGGAAAATATTATATAGTACGAATCGTAGGTACATTTATGATTAATTAGATGAAGCAACGTACGCTACGCACAAGTCACAAACTTTGTTTAACTTATCTGATCTGCGTTGTTTTCAAATTTCAAGCGTAATAATGAATTAATGATGGCTCCCTATAGTTGTATTGCGTCAACTTTTTTTTTTTTTTTAATGCTGAAAGGCACCCTACTGGACACTTAGGCCATGTTTGGAGGATGTGATTTCCATTGATGTATTTAATCAATACATGAAATCATGGGATTCAGTCGTTTTTTTGTTTCAATTAGAGATTGAATACTTGTATTTACTTTTGGGGGCCCTCATATAATCCCTCATTTTGAATGATTTACCAATCTCTACAAATATGTGAGATTGTGAACCAAGTATTGTGGCTGGCTTTTTTGTTCCATTAGTGTCCCTATAAATTTCATATATTCCACAATTTGCCCTTGCCAGCATCTTCTTATCTCTCCTCACATTCGAGGCCTGGTTTGACATTAGAAAACGAGAAAGAACAAAAAAAAACCCTGGTTTGACAATAGCCTGCCTCGTCGCCGGCCTCATCTAGGTTAACGGACCTGGAAACCTCTTCTTATCATCAACGCCTCGTCGCCGGCCTCCTTTTGTACATCCCGACATCAGACGACTTGCCGGGAATCAAAGTGCAAGGGCTGCAATCAAACAGGTATATCCGTAAAGGAGCTCGGTCGTAGTTGGTTAAAACAAACAGGTATGTACCTCAATCCTACTCAGTTCCCATTTGTGATTGTCCAATGTAATCCTTCATCTTTTCGATTTTGTAACTTGACATCCATTTCTAGATTATGGCAAGGTGCCCCAAACAGAGGAAAAAAGCCGTCATTGCGGCAGTGTCCGCATATTTGGAGCTCTTGTTCAATTTCATCAATCTCCTTCTACGATATTATGAGGCATTAGAATCTGAACACGAGCAGGCCGTAGAACATGTTTCATCTTGGGAGACACCAATTGCTAGACAATTAGCTAGGAATTCTTTTATGCGGTGTATCGTTTCTCATGGCGACATATCTTGCACCATGCTTGTTCGAATGAATTGTAGGACTTTTCAGAAGCTTTGTATGCTTCTTAGAGATGAGGGAGGACTTAGGTGTAGTTGGAACATTGAGATAGATGAAATGGTTGCGATCTTCCTCTACACCATAGCCCATAATGAGAAGAATCGTCAACTGCAAGCTACCTTCCGCCGTTCAGGAGAAACAATTTGTAGGGTGATCAAATTGGTCCTGCGTTCGGTTTTGAAACTTCACTCTATCCTACTTCGTAAACCCAAGCCGGTTCTCCATAATTCTGACGATCCGAAAATGGAAGCACTTCAAGGTATTTTCTTCTGATTTTGTTACCAAGTATATGAATGTTATGTTCCTTGATGCATTTGATAGTCCCTGATGCTTTTCTTACAGAATTGCCTAGGGGCTCTAGATGGTACAATTGTCAATGTACGTGCAACGAAAGAGAATCAAGAAAGATATCGTACTCGTAAGGGAACGATTGGAATGAATGTCCTAGGTGTTGTTGATCAAAATATGGAGTTCATTTATTGTTTGGCTGGTTGGGAGGGGTCGGCTCATGATGGGAGGGTTTTGAGAGATGCACTTATTAGGCCCAATGGTTTGAAGGTTCCTAGAGGTTTGTTAAAATGCTTTCTTGTCTACATAAGTTGGAAGTTCATGGTGTTTTCAATTTGACTTATGGTGTAATAATGCTTTCTCGACAGGTTACTACTACTTATGTGATGCTGGTTACAGCAATTGCGAAGGGTTCCTATCTCCTTTTCGAGGTCAACGTTATCATCTAAAAGAGTGGGGTGGTAGACGACCAAGAAGTCCTGAAGAAATTTTTAATATGAGGCATTCAACAGCAAGGAATGGTGTAGAACGAGCTTTTGGCATACTGAAGATGCGTTGGGCAATATTGAGAGAAACCACTTGGTTTTCAACCAAAATGGTCACAAAAATCGTCAATGCCTGTTGTCTGTTGCACAACTTCATTCGTGGAGAGAATGGTGCTGATGTGTTTGAGCGTTTGTACGTTGATGAAGACCCAGATGAAGAAACAGAAGATGTGGACGAGGATCTGATACTCCATATTCAACCTACAGTCGAGTGGTCAGATTTTAGACAAAATTTGGCTCAAGAGTTATGGGCTGCTAGGAGTTGGATTACTAGTTGATTTAGGATGGGATGAGATGATCGAATAGTTATGGTGCTGCTGTGTTTTGGATTACTAGTTGATGAGGATGGGCTGAGATGATCGAATAGTTATGGGCTGTTAGGACTTGGATCACTAGTTGATTTAAGTGGTCTTTTGTAATTCCCCTTTTGTGGCTATCCTGTTAAGTGGCTAACTGAATGATGATGATGTAATTTGATTTGAACCTAATGTTGCTGTCTTTATGGAGGATGTGTTGAAAGTACTGTGTGTGGGTGGTCTCATTTATGATTGCATAAGTGGTTAAACAGTATATGAAAGATTACAGAAGGATATGCTCATTTATGATGAGTTGTTATTCGGTTGTTGGTTGTATTCAATGTTACTTCTGCATAAAAGGGGGTTAGTGGGCTGTTCAGGGACTCAAATAATATCTTCCATTTTGCAGGCTGTTATACTGCCTTCCTGGTTAGTTCCTATTACTAGATTTGTTTTTGCAGGTTTTCATAATGGTGCTGGTGTGTTCATTCTTTTTGTTCATTACTCACGTTTAACTTAACTGTTCTTGATCTGGCTGCAGCGTAACAACTGGAGAATGGCCGAAAATGAAGTTGCTGATGGTGAAATGAATGATGTTGCACAAGGAAGGTTGAGGGAGTACAACAAATGGACGAAGAAGCATGATGTTGTCTTCATCGAGTGCATGCTGGACCTGGTTCAATCTAGGCAGGTTGAGTCTGGGAACTTGAAGAATGGGGGTTTCAAGAAGCTTGAAGCTATGATGGTGAAAAAAATTCCAGGATTTAACTTGAATGTGAGATCAAGGCACCGTTGGTTCAAGAATAAGTACAATGCCATATATGACGTCCAGAATGGGAGTTGCAGTGGGTTTGGATGGGATGAATCTAAGAAGATCATTGTTGCTGATGATGATGTTTTTAAGAACTGGGTTAAGGTAACAGTTTACTCTATCTTACAACTACCTATTTACAGTCCTATGTACAACTTTGATGACCAGCTTCCTTCCACTTTTGTCATTTTGCAGAGCCATTCCCACTTTTCTGGCCTGAACAAGACAAGTTTTGTGTATTATGACCAGCTTGCCAGAGTATTTGGCAAGGACAGGGCAGTTGGTAGTCAAGCTGGGTCTGCAGCTGATATGGAGGCAGAAGTGGAGGCTCGTTTTCGAAGGGGCATGAGTGAAGACCCCATTATGCTCAACGATGAAACAAGCCAACGTGTGCTGGAGGAGATGATCAATGAAGGTATTAACCATAGGGAGTTGCTGGAGGATCCAAAACCTGCTGGTTCTAAGGCAACAAATGCATCTGTTAGCAACAAGAGGTCAAAGATCGATAGGAGTTCAACTAGCAGTGCTGTTGTGGCTTCTGAAATCGTAAAAATATATCCACTCATGGAGAAGGCTAACATGAACATTGAGAGGATGGCGAATAGCTTTTGCCATGAAGATCCTTTGATGATTAGGAGAGAGACCTTGTTTGAGGAACTGTCACAGTTGGAAGGTTTGTCACAAGATCAAGTTATATCAGCTGCCTTGATTCTTGTCAAGGAGGATAGAATTGCCCAGTTGTACTACCAACTTCCCACAGATGAAGAGAAGCTTGCCTTCCTCTTTCGTCTCATCAACTGATGCATATCAAGGAACTTTGTAGGAATATCTTGTAGCCAATTTACATTATGGTTAAGATATATTTTGTATGAATGGAGAACCTGATGTGTAAGGCATCACTCCATAATTGTAGCCAATCTGAAATGGCATTAGTAGAAGCCTGAAGGTAGCTTTTGTTTTTAATGATGTTGCTGGCTGGTGTTGTTGGCTGGGATGGTTTAATATGTAATTGAACTGCTCTTGTTTTAGGTGTCCTATTATTAAACTGTAGCTTGTTTTTAATAATGTAACTTGTTGGTTTATTATTAGTAATATGTAATGACATTATTATCAAACTGTAATCAATTCTCAGGTTCATCAACAAAACATCCACATTCCAAACCATATAGCTTTACCTGAACGCCCTCTTCAATCCAAAAAGGGGAGGGCATTAATGTCATTGATCTCAAAAAGTGTAATTTCTTTTTACAACCAATACACAATCTTTAACACATCCAAACAAGGGATTTGTCTAATACATACATTCAATCAATACCTCAAATCATAATACAGTAATTGAACCAATACATGAATTTAGACAATCACATCCTCCAAACATGGCCTTAAATTAAACCGTTTTGGACTATTCCCATAGTTTCATACAAGATCCAAAAATTTAGATATGGATCAAACAAATTAAATCGCACCACGAGTCCATATCTCAAGGAAATGAGCTTTGTTGGCAAGATAATCCGCAGCCATATTACATTCTCTATACGTATGGCTAACTCGCACATCTCAATCTTTCTGTAAAGGCTCAATGAAACTGAAGGATAGGATGTTGAGTTTGTAGTACATGTTCCGTCTCCCATCCATTGATGTAAGTAGGTGGAAAGCATCCATAGAGTCAATCTTGAGCATAACCTGCTTGTGGCCTTGATTCAACGTCATTTGGAGGCCGATTGATGGAATTTTGTTTCAAACTTTTAGAATGCACGTCCCTTATATATTCATGGATTAGAGTATTCCGTTTCGTTTTACCAAAATGTAATTTAAGTTAACAAAAAGAAAAAAAATGGAATGAAGGATTGAAACCAATTTTCACAGAATTAATGATGATATTTTGGATGTATCAATAAAAATTAAGCTTATATATATGTCAAACAAAAATTTAATCATACTAATTAAGAAGCAGGGTTAGATATTAACAAGCCATTCATAAAAAAATTGCAGTTGTGTGGGAAAACTATTAACCTCCCACCGTAAAAAAAATCCAAGTTAGCACAATCAACACCTACATAACTTATACATAAAGACTGTATATAAACAAGGCAACCATAAGAAATGCGTTATGCAGTTAGTGCCTCTCCATTTCCAAATACTATTCCATTTTGTGGTTCATCCATTGTTTCCAATTCATCTCCCCGCTCACCTTAGAGCCAATTTTCAGAACCTTGTAGGCTGGTCACAATATGAATTCTCCATCTTGCATCCTTTACGTAACTCCCAAATAGTTCCTTGCTTCATAATTGACATTGCATCCTTTAAACCTTTCCAGATCCTAGAGGTAAGATTACGCCCAAGTGCAACACTTCCATCAGTGTTGTTTTTGACATATTTACCTTGCAAAATACTAACCCACAAGTCATTTTCGTTATTCAGGAAAAGCCAAGCAAGCTTCATCATATATGCAAAGTTCAGGGGCCTTGCAGAACGGAGGCCAAGCCCTCCCTCTTCTTTAGGCTTGCATATAGTTTTCCAGTTGACAAGACGCGTTTTGTACTTCCGCTCTTCCGCTCCCCAAACGAAAGCTCTTATTTTCCTACAAGAGTGTCACAAACAGAATAAGGGAGAACAATAGTTTACATAGCATAATTAGGTAACACATTAAGGACATAAACTTCTAAAGTAACACGCCCAGCCAGAGAGCTTCTTGGTTTTCCAGCTAGCAAGTCTCTCGTCGATGTTCTCAATGATATACTTATAGGTATTGATATACTTATAGGTAGGGCTGGAAGTTTGGTACCGGTATTTGAGATATACCGAATACCATACCGAAATTGTCTATATTTGGTATTACCCAATACACGTACTATTTCGTGGGATTGGGATTGAATTTCAATTGTTATTCGGTATTAGGGATTACAGAATTGGGATCAGTATATACTGAAATATCGATCAATACCGAAATATAAGCTAGTGTGTATTTTATCCTCTCAACTAGACTCTCTCATTCACTACTACGCGACCCTCAACCACCAAAAGTGTCATTTAATTATACAAAGATCATTACATCACTATTTCACACTAGTATTAGTCGTCTCTCAATCTCAAATTTGTCAAATTAAAGATTACCAATTACAAGAACTTGAGATGTTAGCTCTAGGCAACTCAAGACTATTTGATTAGTCGCCATAAATTAAACAATAAAACCGAATTTATATATTGAATTATTAATTGCAAAGGTAATTAATTATGTATTCGATAATACCGATTGAGATACCGAAATTATTTAGGGATTGGGATACCAAAATTATTGGATTGGGATTGAGATTGATTTTACGGTGTAATTTGGTATTTGCAATTTCGGTATTTGATATTGGGATACCGATACCGTACCGATTTCCACCCCTACTTATAGGTATCACGGGTGATCCGCTTATGGATCACAGGACTCCTGGGTAATTTCCCAAGTTGTTTGTGCTGGGAATGCCTGTAATCTTGCATATTCTATCATTGGTTCTGTTCTCGGTATTTTTGGAGAAAAGAAGCAAGATTTATCTTTGTTGACTTTCTCTCCTGAAGTCGTGCAAGAACGATTAAACATCCATGATACACAAGGCTTGCTTGGGATTGGCTCATGCGAAAAAACAAGTGGGTTAGGGGAGGACCATCCTTGGAAAGAAAGATTGGATTCCAATCTCCCTTATCACTGCCTGCTTATGGGCACTAATGCAGAAGAATTTCGCATTATTGACTATGAATTTTGCAAATGCACAGGGAAGCTTGTCCCAATGCCCTGCAGATGTGCTCGATTTGAGGACAAAGAAAATTGATGTGAAAAGGAAGGATAAAAGCTGGATAATGAGAGAAAACAGAGCATTTGCTATCCTCCAATTACGACTGCGAACATGGGGAGCCGTCGTTGGTGTAATGATGTCCAACGAGATACCCATCGAACCACAGAACAAACGCATGACAATAGAAGACTGACGAGACGAGTTTATGCCCTTTCCCTACTCTGCTACTGTACTTATGGGTGACCGTCAATGACGCAGACTATCCCGTAGCAATCTTATTATCCCACCTACCCGAACACAGCCTGTGTTTGAACAACTATATGCATTTCGCCTATTATGCCACCCAGATTATCTAAACGACCAAATCGGTCGAAAATCAAAATTAACTCAGG